CACCAAGAGAGTGCTGAACGCACGAAGTGAATCGTCGATCCTACGGAATCCCTTGGATTCGTACTATCCTTTGGTAGAGGAATTTTAAGACGTCGTCTCCAAAAACCCGCCGTCCGGTGACTCGTGATGCTCTTCGAGCCCTGCGGGTTTGACCCGTTCACACGTTTCACACGTGCGCACATAGGTGCTCGTCCATTTGTACAACTTAAGCCACCAATAGTGGTGACTCACAGAGTTGTACGCTTTCTCACGAACGAAATGACCACTGAGTGGCGTGTCGTGAGCCTCATAGAGGATGTGGTATTACAAATACTTCTCATGAGGACCCACAATTCGTGGTGTATCCGTTGAATCGGTGCTATAGTATAGCAAACCATTATTCAACGAATATCGGTGCAATCGCTCACACAATCTTGATTACAATTTCTTGTCCGTCTTTCCAAACTCCTTGCTCCCTAGAGCCCGCCTTCGGTCCTACCTCTGTACCCGAGATGTGCGTCATGAGATCGACCTGGCCCGGAAACCAAATACTGCGTAACACGCCAATGGCTCCTGCCCAAGAAGCAGTGCGTCGTCATTGACGCCATTTTCCGTGCGAAGCACGACGCATGGATGGTGCGCGGGAGCAAGGCTTCCCATTTGACACCCCCGTTTTGTTTTCGGAAGCCGAACGGCAAATGGCTTATCGTTCATGCTCACAATAAGCTCAAAGCTGCCACCATTTCAAAGCAGATGTCGATTCCTAGAAAGAACATTTCTCAGAACAACATGGTGGGATGTACGAAGTACAAGATACTCGACTTGGTCGATGGGTATTACCAATTGCTCATGAGAGCGAGTGATATTCCGCTGACAGCGGTGAGCACTCCGAGCGGCACGCTCTGGGAGTCGCTGGTGATACCCAAGACCGGCAAATGCATCAGCAACATTTAATCGTCTAGTGACGCGGTACTTCAGGCCCCACAGGGCGTATGCACAGACATACTTTGACGACAGTTTTGTTCACAGTCGTGCGGAGCACAAGAGGACAGATGAGGAGAGCCACATCGTTCATTTAAGAGCGTGCTCGAGAGCATGCATACGATCAAACTGTACGCCAATGTAGACAAGTGCATCTTA